GATAGATAGATAGATAGATAGATAGATAGATAGATAGATAGATAGATAGATTTAGATAAGGACAGATTTTATGGTTTTTCATATACTTCATCAGTCTTGCAAAGAAAGCACATATAACTGTTTCCAGACTATTAGTGAAGAATCCAAGGAATTGAAAATCACAATGGGTTGATCTTGGGAGATAACTAGAAACAACTAGGTTTGTTGTTTTTTTGTTTGTTTGTTTCTGCATCAAGAATGCTCCACCTGTGTCTTGACCCAAAGTTTGCAGCCTCTGTATTAAGGAAGCTTAATAATGGTCTGGAACCCAGGGCTTCTAATAAGGGTGATTCAGAAATAAGCCTAGGAAGTAGGAAGCTAGTCACACCGTTAGCCTGGTAGACACAATGACCCAAGAGTATTCTTGTCCTTTAAAATGGTGTCCTCAAGGTTCACTGGTGGCCACAATGGGAAGTCAGGGCCCTGCCCAGCCTCTGACCAACAGACCTTTATGCTGAAGCTGGACCCATGGTTCTTCAGAGAGTTTTACCAGAGTGCTATTCATAGCCTATGACCTGTACAAGAACCCAGTCAGGTGATGTCCCTAGGGTCACTGGGACATATGTCTCCACATTTCTTGCAAGCTCTGCCATTCTTCTCCGCACTAAACAAGCCTTAGGATGAATGGAGCTTCTGGTCTACCTTTCTGGGCAATTTCTCTTAGGAGAGACAGGCTTAAACTTAGAGGAGGGCTTCTGTGTCAGGACCACAGTGCTCACCGTGGATTTAGAATGTTTCCTTTACAGTTGCTGCTTTGTTTGTGTTTGTTTGTTTGTTACAGGGTGAGTGTGTGTGTACATGTTTGCCTGTATGGGGTTACACTTGTGTGTGCAGGTATAAGTGTTTGTGCATGCATGTGGGGTGTGTGTGGGGGGTGGGGTGGGGTGGGTGTGTGGGTGTGGGTGTGGGTGTGTGGGGGTGAGGGTGGGGGTGCGGGTGCGGGTGTGTGTGGGGGTGGTTGTGTGGGGGGGTGTGTACAGAGCACAAGACAAGGCTACAGGTCAGTTTCATATGTTGTATCTTAGGAGCCATCCACCTAACTTTTTTTGAGACATCTCTCACTGGGACCCACCACTCACCCATTTGGCTGACTAGCTAGGGAGCCCTAAGGACCCTCCTGTCTCATCTTCTCCATTGTTGGGATTACAAGCCCAGCCACCCTGAGTGACCTGTTACACGGATGCTAAGGATCAGTTTCAGGCCCTCATGGTTATACAAGAAGCAGTTTACTAATTGAGCCGCCCCAGCCTCTGACAGCTCTAGTCTCTTAATGACATGTCATATTCCACTTATCCTTTACTATTTCCAGTTCTAGTCCATGTGGTTAACACTACCCATGTTTAAAATCTGGATAACTAGATCTCACAGACTTTAAGATGTAAAAGGCACCAAGTATTTACTACCCAAAAAGGGGACATAGAGGCTGAGCTACCGAGGGTGATGGTCTGGTGCTGAAGAAAATGCTTCCTGTCTGCGAATTCTATTACTGATGCAATGCTGAGCTCATGCGTATTGTTCTTTTGCCTTGACTGCAACAATGAATTCAAAAATTATGACTCCAATAAAGGAATCTGCTGTTTATGTTGATTATTACAAAGAAATGCTGGGTATTTTCAGTAATCTCCCAATTAACTTTATTGAGTGCACAATGTTAAAAGCTCATATAGATCAACCAAATATTCTTATGACACAAAGTTGACTAATAGGAATAATATAATAAAACCTCCCTCTACAATGAAAAACAATATCTTCACTGATGTCTCTGCCAGCAATGTAAGCCAGGAAATGCAGGCTGTTAGCTGGGAAATTTAAGCTTAAAAAAAAAAAAAGCAGAGGCTAGATACTCAAAGAAGAATATAAAGGCATTACACTTCAACCATTTTTTCTTTAATTCTAACTCCATCCTAAAGAGTTTAATTTAAAGGCAACCTTGTAGCTATGTATTCTGAGTTTTAATGTTTTCTTCTGTTGATGCTGGTTACACATAAAATAAGAGCCCATAACATAACCCTGACTATACCTTGGGTTTTGAAAATTAACACTTCATATAATTAGGTGTCCAGAGGAGAGCCTCATTCTTCTTACTTTAGCAGTATTGTTAGCAGTAAAGCACACTATTAAAATGTCATGGCATGTTCGGTCTCGTGCTACACCGAGAAGCAGCAAAGAGTCCTGCTGAGACAGTGAGATAAAAGATAGGCCTTGGTCTCTGCTGGTATAAATTGGAGCAACCCCTTTGGAAGTCATTTTCTTGCCATTAGGTACTAATTCTCAATGCACTCCTAAGTATATATTTTAAATGTGTGCTGAAAGGGAATGGATGAATAACCGGTGGCATGTTTGTACAATTAAGTTGCATACATAGCAGTAATAAATATCTAACAAAGCAAACATATCCATATAAAATATTATAAAAAGGAACTTCCATCTAACCTTGAAAACAAAAAGGCAGATGCTAAAACTGTGTATGTTATAACACAAGTCTGTTCACACAGCGGTCAAAAACAGGCAAAACCAAACAATTAGGCTTAGAAGTCAGGCTAGGGATTTACCTTGGCAGATGGATAGCAACTAACCAGGGGTATGAGAGGAATTCCAGGAGTTCTGGCACTGTTCCCTTCTTGCTTGGAATATCGTTAAGATATACTGTTACTGTTTTGTCATTTATTACTATTGAGGGAAACTATTCCCTAACCTTCATAGCCTAAAACACCACTCATATGTCATAGTCCTGGTAAGTCTGGATTCTAGCTGTGGACAGCAGTGTTCTCTAGTGCAAGGCTTCTTTCTCACAAGTGGCTATCAAACTAGCCATGGCTATAGGGTTCATCTGAGGCTTGGGGAGATGCTTGGATTCAAGCTTGTGCATGGATCCCTCACCAAATGGTAAGTTGGTCCTTGGCTACTTACTGGCTATCAGCTGAATGACTTTCCCAGTTCCTTGCCCTACAGTTGTCTCCAGGGGAGAGCTCACAACCTGACATCAATCTCATATGACAGGGCAAAAGTAAGAGGCAAAGTCAAGTCCTGCAAGACAGAAGCCTAAATTTTGTGACATTATCTTAGCAGAATAGATAGCCTATAATTTTTGTTACATAGCTGTGACTCACTCTGAAAAGAACTTATGGTGGACCACAGATTGCTAAGCTTCTCATCAAATGGAAAACAAAACAAGATGAAGACTATGAATTAACAGAGCTTCTGGCTAGGCCTTATTCATCCTTTTCTCCCTCCTCCCTCACTCCTTTTGGTTCCCTTTTCCAGGAAGTGAAGGCCCAAAGAGCAAGGGAGAAAAAGAAAAAGGGAGCAGGGAAAGCAAGCAGAAAGCCTGAGAAGCAAGGATGGAAGGAGGTAGTTGAAGTTGGAAAGCTGATCTTTTTGGAATCAGACCCTCTGGCTACCTCTACTCTGATCACAAAGTTCTTAAACCTATAGCTTACCATCCTGATATTCTTTCGGATCTCAGTATCCTTCTCTCTGCAGCCATGTGAAATATTTTTTTAATGTCAAGTTATAAAGATTTTCTGTATAACAAAGCACTATGAATTTTTTTAAGTCATTGAGTACAGTTCACAGTCAAGAGAAGGAAACTGTACAAAGGCATGAAGATTAACAGGCAAGGATTATTGATGAGGACCATGATAGTTATACTTCAAAAAAAGTTATCAAAAAAAATTGTAGAATTACCGCCTGGTCTACATAACAGTTTGGGAGTTTTGCATTGCCTTTCTTCTCAAGACTATGCTAA